CACCACCACCACCACCACCAAGGGTCACTAGACACTAGCCCTGGTGTATGACTAGTACTAGTTTGTGAAAAATGAATGTAGCATCTCCCAAAACAATTAAAGCAGAGATTTCTCTTCCCAAGGAGCAAAACGCCGTTTGGGTAATGTTAGTTGAGCCCAGGTGTGGGGAGGCGGGGACCAGAGCCAGCAGGCTGCCTGGTCTTGTACAGTCCTGGAGCGCCCTCTAGCGGCAGAGCACTGAGAGCCGCAGGGACCCAGCCTGCACGTGCCCTTCACCTGGTCCCTCTCCACTCCCAGCCCCTGCCCAGCGCCTGCCCTGCCTCTGCCCAGGGCGACGCTAGTCGTCACCTATTTGTTAGAAACCCTGTGCTGGCAACTGCAGATGACGCCTCAGTCTGGTGGGTCGCTCCGCCTCCTGCTCACGGCTCCAAGTTGAGATTTCCTGGCTCTTCAGGGGGAGAGATGGGAGCGCTGGGATCTACTAGTAAAGTCACATGGGGCAAGAGTGAAACTGACCAACTCCCTTTACCCCTTCCTCCCCCTACACACACACACACACACACACACACACACTCAGGCCTGTCGCTTAGTCTACAAAATCTCTCTTGCTGACAACAACCAGGGGCAGGTGTGTCCTTCACTCAGGAAATCCACCCAGGAAAGCCCCAGGAATGAGGCAGGTGGCAGTTTTCCTCTTTTGTGAAGGAGCACTGTAGTGGCAGAATAATGGCCACACGGAGATATCGGGTCCTAAGCCCTGGAACCTATGGGTGTTACCTCATGGAGAAAGGGGTCTTTGCAGATGTGATACATTGAGGATGTTGAGATGGAGAGACTATCCTGGAATATCCTGATGGATCCTAAATGCAATCATAAGCGTCCTTTATAGTAAGGTTGATGGAGAGTTCACACACACACACAGGAAAGGGGAAGTGAAGATGGGGGTAGAGGCTGGAGTGACCAGCTCCACAGGAAGGAGTGTTTTCTAGAGCCCCCCCCCCACCCCACCCTAGGGGAATGGGCCCTGCCAGCACCTTGATACCCGCCCAGTGATACTGGTTTGGGATCTCTGGCCTCCACAACTGTTCTGTTCTCTTAAGTCACCAAGAGTGTAGCATTTTATTACACAGCCTTAGGAAACCAACACAAGTACCTTCACAAATGGCCTCAATCCTGCCTCTTGGCCTGCAAAACCTAAAGTACTGACTTTCTGGCCCTTTAAGGAGAAAACGCTTTCTGACATTTGGTCTAGCCTATGATTAGAGCTTAGATAGGACTTTATATAGTAAGAAAATGTTATTATTTTTATGTCATATTTTAGTAACTTTTAAAAAATGATTTTATAAAATTAACATATTCTCATCACTGAATTCACTCCCAATTCATACTAAAACACCTATCATTACTGTGTGTGTTGTTTTTTTCATCAGGTCTTTTTCTTCCAAATAGATTGGGGGTGGGGAGTTGCATAGCTAAAATAATCTTACATTATAATGCAAGAGTATTTAATTCCATGTTGTAGTCTTCATAAGGTGGCACAGTTTAAAGCTCCATAATGGAATCATTGAATGGTTCTACTATAAGTTCCTTAAACATTACTTGATTGTGGGTTCTCATGAGAGAAATACTTAATTGAAATATTATTTCTTTATTCTGCTATTTTACTAAGATGAAGATTACAAAATTCTGAGATTTTCAGGAGTTTCTTGATCATCCTATATAATAAAAGCCTAATATGCAAATCGACCGAACAGTGGAACGACCGGTCGCTATGATGCATACTGACCACCAGGGGGCAGGTGCTCAATGCAGGAGCTGCCCCCAGCCTGCAGGCCCCAGGCCAGCCAAGGTGGGTGCCAGCAGGGGTCACAATCACCCCGCTGGTCACCCCACAGAGAGAGGCGATCAGCGGTAGCAGCAGGAGGTGGGGCCAGCAAGCAGGCAGAGCCAGGCCAGCCAAGGTGGGTACCAGCGGGAGCCCCCTGATCGCCCCACCAGTCACCTCACAGATTGGCCCTGATTACCGGCCAGGCCTAGGGACCCTACCCATGCACAAATTTCATGCACTGGGCCTCTAGAATCTTAATATAACCCAATCTTATACAGCAGAACCTCACCTGATCCCCTGTGAATTTTCTATTTACATAATTTTCAAGTGAAATCTTGCCTAGTTTCCACTTAAGGTGCAAACATAGTTTAACATGGATGGGTTTAAAACTGGCAGGGAAAAATAAGGAGTATACACAGCTAGAAAAAATACAGAAACTCATTCTGTTAAGAATAGTCTCAAATGGAACCTAGATACTAAGATAGAAACAAAAGACAGCAGGAAAAGGTAAGTGACTTATGGTATCTCCCAATTACTTGAATCAGAGCTCACCCTAGGCAAGAGTTAAAGGATCTGCCCAACTGGTGTGGCGCAGTGGTTGAATCAGGAGGTCACAGTTCCATTCCGGGCAGAGCACATGCCTGGGTTGTGGGTTCAATCCCCAGTAGGAGGCATGCAGGAGGCATGCAGGAGGCAGCTGATCAATGATCCTCTCTCATCATTGAAGTCTCTCTCTCTCTCTCTCCCTCTTCTTCTCTCTAAAAATCAATAAAAACATATTTTTAAAAAAATAATAAAAGAGTTAAAGTCCTGTCTCTCACACTGAGTCCTTACCCTCAGTTTACCCATCTATAAAATGAGTAGGTTGTCTGTGGTCCCTCCCAACATGGGCATTCTAAGATTCTCTGAACACTTACTTGAGTGTACCATGAAGACAGTGGAGTGTCTTCAAACAGGCTTTTCATATCCAAAGGGATGAGGAAAACGTTGTCTATTGCTGAGAGGAGGGAAAAGGCTGGGTACGTGGAGTTTGGGGGCAGCTGCATGGAGCTGCTGAGACCCTTCATGAAGAACACCACCGGCTGCTCGGGATAAACCTTGGCAGCGGACTCCACAGCGCAGGAGACCAGCGGGGACGGCTCCGTCCTCTCAGAGGTCTCTAGGAACACAATGCTGCGTCCCTTGCCCAGAAGGGCTTCCGGCCCCTGCTGGGACTTGTGGGGAGGCAGGCAGGAGAAGAGGCAGCTGGACTTGAGGGTGAGCTGGTAGAGGAAGCCACAGGAGAGCAGCAGGATGACCAACAGGGAGAGCTGGAGCTCCTTCAGCATGTCCACGTCTCCCTTCTGGCCGCTCCTTTAAGTCAACACAATTCATTAAAAAGCACATCCACAAAACCGGGTAAAGATAGCACACGCAAAAACAATAAAAGAGTATCATTTCTGAGCTTAAATCCCAAATGAAATAGAAACAAATCAAGTCATGCAATATTCAAAAGAAAAATGTATTAACTGGAGTTTAACTGAGAAATTTAGGGTGATTCAAAATGGGGGGGGGAATCATTCATTAACAGAAAAACTATTAATCACATGCACTAGCTTATAGATTAAAGAAGAAAAGCTGCATGATCATTTTGGTGAATAGATGCCAAGAACAGGATACAAGTCTGTTCAACAGAAGGCGTGCAGGAGGCAGCCGATCAATGATCCTCTGCTAAGTCTAACCAAGGCAATAAAACAAGAGGAAAGAATGTCTGCTATGAATTCTAGAAAGGATGAGGCAACGACATCACTAGTTGTAGAAAATATGATTGCCCACCTAAAAAATTCAAGATAATTTACTAAGAAACTAATAGAACTAAGAAGAAAATTAACCAGGGAAGCAAACTGAAGTCTAGGGTTAAAGAACTTGCCAAGATCACACAGTTAGCAGACCCATGCCTCTAACTTGGGCTTGCCTGTCCCTCTAGGACCCCCTTCTCCATAAACATTAGCTCTAACTCCAGGAGAGCAAAGATTTCACTTTTTCGATGGTCTATTTTTCACATTCCGTATGACTCTTTTAGAAAACACAAAGCCAATGAATCAGAGCTTACCTTCTAGCCTGAAACTTGCCGTTAGCCACTGTCTGAAGTCTTAGCAATGACCACAAGTTTTCCTGCTATGCTCTTTGATAAATCACCACCTAATCTTCCAACTCAACAACTCAGGGAAGTAAATCATTGGCCGAAGATTAACACGAAACACAAGTTCTCAGAAAGCTCCTCCCTTTAGTAAGTTCCCCCAAACACAGAGACTTGGGGACAATAAAGGGTTCGCACAATTTTTCAGGTGACCCACACACTAATCCTGCCTATTTGTGGATTTATCAAGGGGAGGGGGTTAAAGGGTGATGACTTCATCTGGAGAAAGTTGAATATAACCCTGAAGCTAAAAGATATTGCACCTAAGCAGTTTAGTTTCAATCCAAATCATGAGCAGAGCCTTGGGAAAGTTTCATCATCAGACGACCCTGTAATTTGGGCCAAACTTTGCAAACACAGATTTGAGTAAAAGAAAAGAAAGTCCATCACCACCAATAAGCAGTGGACAGCCCCGGAAATCCAAGGTCCGGATGATTTGGAACCAGAATTTATTAGCCAATTTCAGTTACAGTGGCTTCAGGAAGGATCCTTTGCCCTTAGGCCCCCCTGTGAGGTATAGCTTCCTCCAAGCTTCACAAGGTCAGGTTCATCACCCTCCACTGACGTGGCAACCCCCACATCTCCAAAGATAGTGTCGCTCTCCTGTGGTCTGTGCCCCAGTGCTCCTGACATGAGTAGGTAGTTATCCTCAGTGAAACCATCCTCATTCAGGGAGTCGCCTATCTTCTACTCAGAGCCTTCTCTCAGCCATGAGCAGGTACCCACAGTTCCCCCTGGATGCTCTGGTGTGAACCTGATGTCCTTCCTGAGTGTTTCTGAAGAGGCCTCCTGTCACCTGAGCCACTCTGCCAACTCTGCCAGGAACTCCCAGGGCCCCCAGATCAACCCTTCAGCCTTCCCTCTGGTGGGAACAGAACTGCCTTCCCTTCCTTCTGCTCCCCTTTCTGCCTTATCTGGCCTGTGTCACACGGACTTTGTTTGTGCGGGCAGATGCCACAGCAGCAGCTCCCAACCTGGACTCCACAGGTCCCTAGAGGTCCCAGGATGGGCTTTGGGACCTGGGGCCATACCCTGCACCAGTCCCTTTGCCCTGAGTGCCACTGGTGCACAGCTCCTACATATTCTCTGCCCGAAGGAATGCCCCTGCTCTTTGATGCTCCATGACAAGAACTCTGTTCAAAATTCCTCCAAATGTCTGCCCCACACAATGGCAGGCTTACTCCGACCAGGGAGAGAGATCTGAGTGAGATGTGCAATGGGTGGGTCTGGATACGCTGCTGAACGCCACATATGCATCCAGATGTCATCTCCTTTCCTAAAAGCTTTGGCCTCCTGTGAGAGTTCCTGCTTCCTCCATCCCAATGTGAGCCAGAGCTGGTCAATGCAGTGGACTGTGGAGCCTGGGAAATTGCTACTGACTGATGAGGCCTTAGCAACGGTGGAGTGATGTAGCCCCACCCAGGATGAGGGCAAAACCTCTGAATCCAGTGGGTCGTTTTTTTTACATTCAATATTATCCCAGTATTGTCTTTATTTTACAATACTCTTCTTTGGATGTTCGGAGCTAGTCTGAAGAAAAGTTGGTACAGGGAGGAAAACCTTGGAATCAGAGCTGAGATTTCCCCCAACCCTCCAGCCCCACGGATAACCTCTGATAAACTCAACTGGGAAAACTTCAATGTTTGGGCCCACACTCCCTCTGCTATAAAGGACTCACTGTATCAAGAAGGAAGTTAAAGGAATTTTAACACGAAATGTTTGTTGAACTGAATTACACGTGAAAAGTGCACCTCTTAATTCTGTAGCTTCTTTGAACTCTGATTTATTGTAAGAAGGAAATATTCGAGCCAACAATACTTGCCCTATTTACTTTGGAGCCCTTGGAACCACAGTTCCGGTTTTTAACATATTTGTTAATCAAGTGGGACTGATAAACTTGTTAAAGCATTCAGCTATTAACAGTGCAAAACCAATACAGAGTGATATCTTATCAACATTGTCAATTTCTGCCTTGGCTGGGTAGTCACATGGTTAGAGCATCCTCGCACTACGCCAAGGTTGTAGGTTTGCTCCCCGGTCAGGGCACATACAAGAATCCACCAATGAATGCATAAATAAGTAAAACAACAAATCCATGTTTCTCTCTCCCTGCCTCCCTTTTTCTCTCTCTCTAATCAATAAATTTTAATTAAAAAAAAAATACATCGGCTCCTGGTCGGGGTGCATGCCTGGGTTGCGGGCTCCATCCCCAGTGGGGGGTGTGCAGGAGGCAGCCGATCTATGATTCTCTCTCATCATTGATGTTTCTCTCTTTCCCTCTCCCTTCCTCTGTGAAATCAATAAAGGTATATTTAAAAACAAAAACAAAATTAACAAAAAAGTAAAACCATCACCAATTCCTTTCATCACTGTTCTGAAGCTGGAACGAAGACTAGAGACCTGGGTTTAGGTGCATGAACAGCGACAGTTCACTGCGGAGTGAGAGAGAATCCACAGCCTGACACTTGGGAACCCATGTGGGAATAACAGAAGGTTATGGACAAGTGACATTATCAACATTAAATCCTGAAAAACCAATTTTTTTTTTATTGAAAATCTGTGAATTCATGCCAGCATAAAATCCCCTGGTCCCATGACAATATTTTAAACTGTTCTGCGTGTCTAATGGTTCTAGCCTTGCATTTCTGACAATAATGCTTTTGTTCTCCACTCGGCCTTACCAGTCAAACATGCTCCTGTGTACAAAACCTTGCATAGCGATCAGGAAGGTATTTCTGGGTTTGTTCTGGAAATTACTGTGCTCACACGTGTCATTTTCCCCTTTTTTAAGTTTACTTGCAGATAAAGGAAGGGATGGGGGCAAGGGCAGGGAGATAAGGGAAAACAGTTGTTCTCAGTGCAGCAGTTGTGCAGACACCACCCTTTCAGGCTGAAGAACAGGGTCTGCAAGATGCATACACTGAATAGTGGCTCCAGTCGGAGAGCGGAGGGCTGTGTGAACAAGCTTTGCTTTCAAGCTCTGTAAGTCAGTGTTTAGTCTCTTTGTTCTGTAAGGAACTGGAAACATCTTAGAGCCACCTGTGCCATGTGTCCACATGGCAAGGAACTTTGTAAAAACTGAGTGGCTGTGAGAATGAGCAGTACCTGATGTGGCTGAAAGAAACTGTTGTGGACTGAATGTTTGTGCCCCCACCACCACCACCACCAAATTTGGGAGAATGAAGCCCTAACCCTCAAGGTAATGGTATTTGGAGGTGTGGCCTTTCTGAGGTCATTAGGTTTAGATGAGGTCACGAAGGGGGCATTCTTACAAGAGGGGAAAACAAAGATCTCTCTCTCTCCACAAGGATTCACCTCGGAAAGGCCAGGGGAGGACCCAGTAGGAAGGCAGCCATCTACAAACCAGGAAGAGAGTCCTCTCCAGGAACCCATCTTCACCTTGATCTTGGACTTCCCAGTTCCAGAACTGCAAGCAATAGGTGTCTGTTGATTAAGCTGTCTGTCTGCGGTATTTGTTATAGCAGCCCCAGCTAAGACAGAACCCCACTGTAACCTTCTTCTCTTTAACCTCCTTCCATGTGTTTTCAAGTTTGTGTTGAAAACAATGAAAGTGAGTAGTATCTATCTTTAAAGTAAGGGTACTCAATCTAGTAAAGAGATGAAATTTTAATATGTTTGTATATGAAATATACAAGGGCCTAAGGGCAAAGTCAATTCTCTATATAACATCATTATTACAAAGTTAAGTCTTGAGTCAAAAAACCCAACTCTAAAAATATGGTCTTAAAAATCACATATCTGTATACAAGACAATAAACTGTCTCATGCTGCATCGTCATCATCCTCTGCAGCATAGATGGCTTGATTCCTCCTCTTAATTTTCTTTCTTTGTTCAGGTACAGACTCATCACTCAGCCTCTTCCCTGGTGCTCTGGTTAAGTCCTTCCCATCTCCAGACTCCACAGCCTCGCCAGGTTTCCCCTCTCCGCTACCTGGGGAACCCGATGTATCATCAGAAGAGACAAACATGGAACCTGGCAGGATCCTGACATCAGAGAAGCTTGCAGAAAAGTCAGAGGCCAGGTCGGAAGAAGGTTCTAGGGATGTTGTATTCAGGTCACTTTGTGCACTTACAAAACTATCTTCCTCTTCCTCTTCTTCCTCTTCCTCTAACACTATTTCATCTGGATTAGTAGAGGACAGGGCA